TTGTCAATGAAGAAAACTTTATATACTGAATGTCATTTTAATGCCATCCATATTTTGACTTTGAAGGCTCCTTATTCCTTAAAAAAAAAAAAAAATTAAGAAACTGCCATACAATATATTTTAACCTAAGTGAAACATCTAAGAATTAAAAAGTATGAAAAGGACTTAAGAGAATTTATATAAATATTTCGTTACTCCTTATTCATTATCTTATCATTATTCAGTTCTGTACATTAGCTAATGACAATATTAACCTGTAAAAATTCACTATGTACATTTTGGAAGCCATCTCAACTCTGACCCACAAGATCCACTTACATACTTTCAATAAAGGTATTCATCATAAATTATTTACTCTACCTATTCAGAGACACACAAGTGATGTGTATATAATAATAATAATAATACCTAGTTACTATATAACACTCTTCGTCCATATTGGTCAAAGTGTTTTACAAAACAGTTCATAAGTATGTCTTGTGGGTAGGAGTGGACTTGCCCCTATGTTGTTAGAGAGCGAGAGGTAAACTGCTCTCTTCAATAATGTTGCTGATCTTTCACTCCAAACACATTGAAATAATTCATTAGCAAGGTGGTGATTGCTTTCATAATGCATTTGTGTTTCCATGCCACACTACTACTTCTGACAAGAATTTAACAATGTACCCTAGCAGAAGTTTAGTGGGTAAAATAATAACACAGAGCGGAATTTTGTCCCCCCTCCCCCGAGTCAATGGCAAAAATCCCCTTGAATTCAGTAGGGTCAAGATTTCACCCACATCATTTATACTATTAATTCAAGATAGCACAAATCTCATGGCACAGTGCAAGCTCATCTTTTTTCCCAGGTAATTGGAATTGTGGGTTGGCAAATTATTCAAGGGTGATTTGCAGTGGGTTATCTTAAACAGCTATTTAAATTGCTGTATTTAGGATGAATGTATTGGTTATGTTGAGGAAGCCTAGAGCATTTCTATAAATCAAACTAAATATTGGGGTCTGTGCATTAAATAGCTTCAGTTCAGAAAAGTTATATAAATATGTGCAAACTAGATATATCTTGAGTATACCTTGTATATTTTCATTTGCTAAGAAGTGAAATTCTCACAAAAGGAACAAGGATTTACTCTTTCCATTTCTCCCTTCTTTATATAGAAGCTCCAGTGTGATAACGATACTGTAAACTTCAATTCCTTGCCTAACATTCATTAATTTGACACTTCAAAATGTACTGTTGAAAAGTCTAGACAACCCTACCAAATCAGATCTACCATGCTTGCTGCATTTTTTCTTTTATGTCATTTCACAACAAACAGGCTCATGCTCTTATTTGTAGTAACTATGGAAACCTCAGAAGCTCTCTTTCTAAAGCTGAGTATACAATAAAGTGCTTAAAGTGTTGGAAGGATTAGAGACTTTAGAATATGTTTAATTTTCTCTCTATCTATCTATCTTTGGAGAGGAACAAGAGGGTAATGTGCATATTAGCTAGGGACTCACTTTAATCTCTGCTGACACTTAAGTCTGTCTAGGTTTACACACAGCCATCCAGGGGTCTCTCTCTCTCAGCATGCTAACAAGGAGAGTTATACATATTCATGGCTCTGAATTGTACAATGGAAAACCTGTGTAAGGAAAGGAGAAAGTTATGAACAAGGGAAAATATTATTGAAACCATTTTGCAGCTTTAAGTACAGTGGTCGCTAATGGCATATCATGTGATGATGATAATGGGTTTCATCAGATAATTTTTATTGAGGGTGTACAAGAAATTACATTGTCACAAATTAATTTGACATGGGGACAATAGGAATAGATCAATAGGAATTGTTCTAGAGTTAGCACACATTTTCAGGAAGTATAATAAGGAATTAATCTTATTACCATCTTCATGTCCTGTAATGGCAATGCAAAGATTAATACAAATTTTAATTGTTTAAAAATACTGTAAATCTCATATTTTAAAACAAACTATAGTTTGGGTCAGAAACATTACTACTTAAAAAATTCACCACCTTTCTCAGCGGATCTGCTCCCTATGGATGATATATTCAGAGCCATATCTCAGATGGAACTCAGTGGGTGAAATTCTGCTTCTATGCCATAGGCAGAGACAGTGTGAGTGATGTCTTGCTTCACACAGTCCACTGGGTGAACATCATGCTACCTTCTGGCCCTCATTAAATGCCCTGAAATAGGGCTAGGGAATTACTGCTGGACTGTGATCCTAATTCTCCTCCTCATCCACAGCATTCATTAGTTTGCATGCTTCACCAATCGATTTTGTCCACTATTGTCATTAGTGCTGATGTCTGAGATTCTACTTTACATTTGGTTTAGTTTCCTTGGTATTTGGTAAACTTATTTTATATACTCCTCTAACTGCAAAAATTGGTAATCCACAGTGAGAGATGACCAGTTAATATATCTTTATATAACCATCATAGTTTGTACATTCATTTAACTGCAATAATGACATGCTCACAAGAGAGGAACAGTGGATATTCTTCATTATTGAATTCCCATTTCAAGACCTTTGTTCTCCTTTATGATTCTTCACCTACCTGCTCCCATGCTTCACCCAGGTCTTGATTTCCCAATCCCTTTCTGGCCCCATACAAATCCATCCACTGGCCAGAAATTTGAAAATGAAAGAGGAAGGTGGTGGTAAAAATCTTCTTCTGACTCTTTTAGGGAAAGGCCCTAAAAACTGGCATTTGTTGGACTTTTCAGTCTCTGTTCTCACAGTGCATTAATGTAATAATAATAATACACCGTTGAAAGATAAAGGGCAGTTTTATTGATGCAACACTAATTAAAATACAGGTATCAATCATTGCTGCTAGCCAAAAGATGTATAATTCTATGCCCTTGCTGGAGATTTCTCCTATTCCAATTTTAGGGATGCTATATACAGTCAATCATATGTGACAAATGTGCTATCACCTGATAAGTGTTTGTCTAGTATCCTTTGATTTATGTGACATCAGTCTAGCTGCCTCTTTAGTCTGCCCTATCCAGCTGGGTACCCAGGTAGGGAGCAGAGCCAATGCTATTATTATTGTTAATCATGTTTATTATGGTAGTGCCTAAAGACCAACCAATAATGGGCCCCATTGTGCTGGGCACCCCCTTGTGAGTCCAGAGCCATCACTCGTTACCAGAAACCCTCTGACGTCATGAATTACTCATAACCTCTTAGTTTAGATCTGAAACACAGTGCCTGTCCAGAAGAGCTTACTATCTAAGAATAAGGCAAGACACACTAATTGGAGACAAAAAAACAGAGGGAACAAAAGAAACAATGAGAATAATAAGAAAATGCATGTTTGTACAGTGCCTAGCATAATGGGGCTGGATACTGTAGGTCAGTGATACTTAGACTGAGGCTCGGAAGCCACAAGTGGCTCTTTACACGATATTAAAACACTTTGTGATTTAATTATTAACCAATCAGAATGTTTTTACTATGTTATTAATCAATTATGGTTGATATAATGATACTTGGTCAGTCATTTTGCTATAAGAATAATATATATTATATAAATTATTATATAGTATTCTCTCTCTTTATATATATATGTGTGTGTGTGTATATACACTGTATAAACATGCATTTTCTTATAATTCTCATTGTTTCCTTTGTTCCCTCTGTTAATGAAACAATTCACACTACTGTGGCTCTTTTGGGTAATGTTGATCGCTAATTTGGCTCCTGAACCACTGAGGTCTGAGTATCTCTGCTCTAGGTTCTACCACAACAGAAATAATTAATAATTAATTGGACTTCCTTTCATCTTATGTTATGTTTTTGGCTGGGGTTCCTACCCTCCCCATACTGTTCCTGTCCTACTGCCACAGGCAAATGCCCATAGAAACGTATTATGTCTCTGTACTTAGATCCTGTCCAGCCCAAAAGACATCAAGGAGATGAGTAAATTATGTGCATCCTTCTATTATGTGTGAAGGTACGTGTTGCAAATAACTGGTGCCCTACAGGCACATCCTTCTACATGTGAAGCTTAAATGAAATTATTCAGAATTGTTTGTGTCTCATGTGGATGTCTTGGAAAAGATACCATAACATAGCTTTTCAACTACAGAATTGGGACTAACATCTGACATTTCATAAAAATGAATATTTTACTTCTCTTGGAAGATGCCAGATTGATATTGCTGGAAATTTAATTCCTCTGACATGTGCCTCAATCCTAGCCGGAAGGGACTCGCTTTAGAGTCAAATGAGTTGTTGCTTGTGTCCATTCAAACATTAGCATCTCTGCAGGAACTACCTACCAGTGGTCCTCTGAGTGTCAGTGGGTTTTATGCTAGAGACCCAAGCACTAGGAACTGAACTTGTATAACTTAATCTAAAACATTGTGTTTCTTAAAAACAAGTCTCCTATGTTACGAACACCACCATTTATCATTTGCATGAACAATTTTAATACAGGTGTAATTGACTCTTTGTTTGTTTGTTTCCTTTTTTGAATTTGTAAATGAAAATAGCCAATCAGCTTCACTGTGTGTTGTTTAGAGCTAATTTCATTTTGAGGTTCTTGAGTGCACAATGCTGCAGAAACTGCAGTGGGATTTTTTTTAGCTTTGTGTTAGAAATGTTCCCATGAGTTTCAATTAGATTTGGCTTTTTTAAAATTGTTTTTACGGAATTTTTGTGTCAAAGGAAGAAGGGGTGATCCAAGAGGGTCGTCCCCCCCCCTTTATTTTTTTTGGTAGGTTAATTGCTTTTTTTTTTTTTTTTTTTTTAATTCAAGATAAAACTTGGTTAACTTGACTAAAGTCAGTGGGACCTCATGTGAGCTATATTACTCGTGTACAAGTGTTCGCAGGGTCAGGATCATACTTTTTAAGTATCTTTCTCTACTAAACTGCATTTTAGAAATCTTTGTGTGTGTGGGGGGGGGGGGGTTCATTCCAGAATTAAAATGAGCATTCTGTTTTGTCTGTAAAATGAGAAATTCCTTAATTCTCTCCTATAGTTGTGAATCAGTGGGCCGTGTATGCCATCCGAAATCTCACTGAGCAAAACGAAAGAAACCAAGAGGTTATTGCACAGATGGAGCAGCAGGGACTGGCAGACAATTCCATCCTCAAGAACATGGGTTTGGAGATTGAGAAACGAGATGAGAAGCTAATATTGAAATCTGTTCGAAAGAACCCATCTTCATGAGCAGTCCCATGTAAACTTTTTGAGGATTGTCACCAAGTAAAAAGAAGGCTATTTCCCAAATAATACAGTATGAAGGCCCTGTTAGGATTTCCATTTTTTTTTTTCCAGTTTAAGTTCCAATCTGCTGGAAGTGTTATGACCTTTTCCAGAGAAATTGTCAAACAATAATGGTCATTCACCACTGTGACACATGAACACCACAAATGCAAAAACCTTTTCAAATCTGGAGATTGGCGGTAATTTCATTAATTCTTTGTTTTGCTAGTGGAAAAGTGTCATGAAACCAGGAAACTGATTAATGGTTACTTATCTCATTTGTTATACCTGAAGATAATGATGGTTAAAAAATCACTATGAGATATCACTTCTGTGATATGTTAAAAGCAGCAGCGCTGAATCAGTTCTAACTACCTAATTAGTAAACGTTGGTACTTCAAAAAATAAATCAGAATGTTTAAATATTTGTATTTATATAATGCAATGACAGTGAAAGATTGGATGTACATAAATACTTTCTGAATTAAACACATACAATACTGCCTTCTGTGTATTTGTAAGTTATCTTTTCTACCTTGTTACTTTCAGTCATTCTGCTGAGTATGTTAAAAACAAAGTTGAAGCTGTTGTGGCAACAGATGCTGCATTCCTCTGCTCTGGGGCATGTCTCTATTTTGGAGACTTGGATGTTTATTTGAATTTTATTTGTTCCTTTGGATGGTAACTCAGCCCACTCTCCTTTTATTTTGCACTTCTCATGGGTTTTCTGAACTCTGGCAGACGGCTGAAGAGGTAGTTTCTCACTGTGATTAATTCTAGCAGTTTCTTTTCACCCCTCTGCCTTTCCAAAACATTGACAAAACTCATTTCCAGTTAATTAATTCAAGAGAGGCAGAAGAATGGAAGGCCCTGCCTCTTCATTTTAGGTACCCTCCTATATTGTTGTTGGACCCTGCCACTGTGGAATGTGGCATGAATGAGATGGGTGGAAGAAAAAGTGCATGATTAACTCTTCTTGTTCTGAACTGTTGCTTTAGAAATTAAGGAATATGGCTCTTGATGAATTAAGCAGAACAAAAGTTATTATCTAATGGTAATTTTATTAACTCTGTATATACTACTGCTATGAATGAATTCTGTTCTGTCCCACAAAAGGGTCTTATTAAATTGCTCATGTTCAACTATCACTTCACTCATCACTTTATTTGGAATAATAAACTTTTGTCAATATAAATGCATGAGAGTTTAAACAACCATATTCAAAGGGAAAATGAATGTAGTTTTTTAAACGCTAAGACGTTTATATTTATGCTTATCTGCATCCTAAATTATTGGGGGAAGCTGAAATCCTTCCATTTAAACACATGATCTAGGCATTTATAGTGTTCACCTGACGTGTCCATAGAGCTGACTTGATGAGATTATTGCCCAGCAGTAGTGCACTCATTTTAGGCAATGTTTGGCTTTAGGCTGGGGGCTATCGGGCTGCAGCCCCTTTTAGTTCTTTAGCCATTTTATGTAATCAAGTGCCGAAAAACACAAAGATGATCACATGCACGAAGGTAGGACTACCACTTCTCCTTTGTAATATAAATATCAAAGAGAGAAAAGGTTCTCTTTGATTTCAAAAGGCCAAATGTGTTGCCTAAAGAAAAACAACAAAATAATAAATATCTTATTTGGGATTTTTAAATGATGTGGCAGAAAAGTGTCTTGACAGCACACTGGAAGAATTTTTTTGAATTGCTTCATCTGTTGCATTCCAGTTTATAAAAGCTATATAGGATTGAGTACCATCTCTAGTTAAATGGCACAGGGAATACTTTTTGTGTTCTTTGTGGAGTCTACACTGTCAGTTTCCAGTTCCTTGATAACACCCATAAAATTTACACATCATGTTTAGGCTGCAGCTTAGCTAGTAGTTAAATCGTTATTTAAGATCAGCTATATTTATCATCGTTCATAGTACTGAAGTATGGCAACTCAATTCTATCACGCAGTTAAAGAAAAACTTTCAATTTTTAGGTTCTTCTCAAAATAAAATAAATGTAATGTGTTTTTCTGTAAAAGTAAATGGATTTAATCTTTAGTTTTTTATCTTAAAAACTTTAATGAAGGATTTGTCAAAGGCACTAGCACTTAAAAATAAAATGGAAGAGTTTAAACTTATAATTCTAAAATCTCAGAAGATTTTCAGATTTATTTTAGAAACACATTTACAGAATTTACATTAGATAATATAATGCAGTGTTGAAAATGTAAGATGAACAAAAATGCATCCTGGACAGAAAATGAGCTTTCTTTGCAAACAACAATGCAAAGGATTTCTTTCTATTCTGGGTTATAATGAGTTAAAATCTTGTCCACAAAGCAAATCCAGATAAATCTTTGGTTGTGGAATAAGCAGTGGGAGTTCCCTTTTCCTTTTAACCAGTTTGGAATAGACACTTTTCTTAACTCAATGGTTGTATGCCCACCAATGGAATATACACAAACCCATAAGTATAAGCCAAATAATAACAAACACAAATAAATAAAAGGGTTTTTTGTGGCATTACATAATGGAATAATAGTTGTGTTTTCTAAATGGGAAATGTAAGGCTTTCATAGTATAAAACATGCTGATTACTGTATTGTGAGTGGCTGGCTTTTGATTTTCCTGGATGGATTAATTCTCAGAACACAACAGCTTCCTTGTCCTCCTCCAATGGAGTTCCAGCCTCCAAGAGATTTGTTTTATATGCTAGAGGATTACTACAGCACACGAATCAGTTATAAAAAAGCAAGCCTTATTGAGTTTGTAGAGAGGCAAAGCAGTCAAATCAAGTCTTGTGACCATCTTATTGCTTTCAAGAATTTCAAACAAAAGTGATCGTGTTTTTTTTTTAAGGTCTATTTATTAAAAGTAAAGTGGGATTTTCATAGTAATGAGTGGATGGATTTTAACAGGGGTTTTTGCAAGTTGAGAGAAGTAGATTTGAATGTTTCCCAATTTATTTCTGAATTGTATCCAGGATCATCTAATAATGTTGAGTTGATGTGTTCTATATAATATGTACATCATGAGTATTAAAAAAAAATTCAGACATTTAATGTAATGGCCACAACATTTATTCAATCGTTTGTCATTTTCTTTCTTGATATATTTGTTTGACCTTCCAAATAAATTAATCTCACTGATGTGATAAAGCAATTAAAACTGAATTTAGGTTCAATTGTGACAAAAACTGTTTTAAACACTTGAAGTTCCTCTTCTGTATGGTTTTGTTTTATGGTAACGTAGTTTGATATCCTCTTACAATATATTGTCATTGTAGTTTGACATCTCAAAATACAGGAATAAATATAAAACCTGTCATCATATAAGGCTGTAGAGAAGAACCAAAAAGTATACATTTCCCTGTTTAATTGTAAATGGCATTCTGAATATACAAATGACCTTTTTTCAAAGTTTCAGTAATTATTCATTATAGAGTACATCTCATGTTTGTATTAGAAAGCTCCAGTTATTATAATAACTGTTGTATATTTGAGAGATGCAAAATTTTGAACTCTGAGATTGTCTCATGGGGTACAAGTGTCCATGGTATCTGAGGCAAAAACCCTAATTTGCAGAGTCCCCACACTGCTGTCCAAGGTTCTGATAATGTCCGCTGCTTTTAAGAATAAGAAATTTATAATTCTTTATAAGACTTAACGTATAGTGATTTCATATTTTTATTGAGGCTTTCCCAGTATCCCTCAGTAGTTGTTTCACAGTATAACATGACTACAGTTCAGTAAGAATACAAATAATATATTTTAATGCAGACACAAAAGTAGAATCATTCTTAGTTAATCGCATATGAAAGATCTGTAGGCCATTGCGACCAGCTCCCCTATAATTAATTACAAGAGAGTCGTCATAGCAGGATCTGGTAGGGATGGCTATTTCTAAGGTTACCTAACACTTCCCATTATCAGACCCTGTTTTCCATTGTTTATAACTTTGCCAAACTTTAACCATTCAGGCTAAAATTTTCCATGCCAGGTGTCTGCCTCATGCTGAATCTTTTTTTTTTTTTTTGAATTGTCTTCTAAAATGGGTCAGCCATTTCCAAGAACAATTAGGGAAAACATTTTGCCCATGCTAAAAAACATTCATGCAGGGTTTTTTTTTGTTTTGTTTTTTGTTTTGTTTTTTTTGAAAGGCCGAGGTATATAACCCTTTGGAAAATCTCAGTTCACACATGCTGGTTAGAGTTCAGCAGCTAAATTTTCTAAAGAGTCCATCTGCATTGGACATGCTCCCACCCAGGGCTGCAGGGGCTGAGCAGGACACTTGCTCCAATTACTGCTATACTGGCCTCTGCAGGCTGCTAGGACCCGGGCCACAGGAACTAACAGCAGGGCGGCTGTCCATCCTGTGTTTTCAGTGCTCCCTCTGCTGGTATTCCTGTAGTGTGGAGGAGACAGTCATTTGACTCTCATGCAGAGAGGACGAAACTGGAACTTGGGGTGGGGAGGCAGCAAAGGAAGAAGATTGGGAGGAGGCTGGGCTGGGAGACTCAGACTGGGAGCCAATCTGTCAAAGCACCTGCCTTTGTTTCGTATTCCTCCTTAAACTCAATTTGTTGCAAGATTCTATCAGTCTTTCTTCTGATCCTTTCTTCGCTGTCCCTTCCCGAAGTATTGTCTTGTGTATCTTAAGTTGTAAACTCATTAGGGCAGGGAACGTTTCTTAACCTCTGTGTAATTTCATATTTGATGACCAAACTTATGTTTTCTTGACAGTTGGAGTCAAGAGACAGTTAAAATTCCTTCACATTTATATAATGTCTTTTATCCAAATAAATCCTGAAGCACTCTAAAAACTTTACTGATATACATATGTGTGTTACAGATGCGGCGTGGCAGCTCTATAGTTAAGGCTGTGCTATATACTTAAATAAGGAATTAAACCTCTCTGTTGGCATGAAGATAGTATCTCCTTCTAAAATTTACTGCACTTAATCTTTAAGCAGGGAATGAATTTTCTGAGAATTTACAAGTAAATGTGTTAAGTTACAGTTGCTGTAAAATTAGTTCTTTAGAAAACTACTTGTTCAATCACTTTTTTATTTATTTATTTATTTTTGACTCTCACTAGCAAATAAATTCTTGACTTCTAATGTTTGAAAATTGACGTCAGGGCTACAGCAAAATCTAAGTCATAGGCCTGGAGCCTGCACTTAAAACCATGCAAGCTGACTCTTGTCCCCAGGCTTAGCGTCATTGAAGATCAGAGGGCTCCCGTCAGACCCCTGTGCAGGATCAAGGCCTTAATGTGTTGCTTTTGATTTATTAGCTATTAGAAACAATTCTATCTGCCACAATGTTTACTGACTAATATTTCCAGTTAATATTATTTTCATTGAATGTATCATTAAATGGATACTCCAAAGGCTAAGATTTATTTTAATTGTTTCCTGCCCTCATCGTTGTGAAGAAAACCTTGAGAATATGGTGCATAATCCAGTGCTGTCTTTGTTTCTGCAGACAGCCTGAAACAATAGCTCTGAGT